CTGTAAGATTAGAGGAAAAGAAAAAGTAGCACCAGTCATCAAAGGAAGAGAGAGAAATTATTTTGGCAGGTACCACCCCGGTAAGACTATCTTCTGTCACATGTACAATAATGGAGCAAATATTAAGATAACTCATTTAGTGGAGAATAATGAAACCATGAGAAATAAGTAGTATATATTTGTAAAAAAAAAAAATAGATCTTGCCAAGCGAATTGATTGCTTTTCTGATAGAATTGCAACGTTATTGAAAAATAATACATCTGAAAGGTTTGAGTGATGATTGGTTTAAAAGGTGATTTTAGTGAGTGGTGCAGCTGTGTCTTGTAGACAAGGCCTCAGCCCATACTTAAGCAACTAAATAAGCTGCCTTTTTCCAGAAGTGCTAACCGCACAGCTCCCACTTGAGTCATTTGGAGCTGTAGTTCTGTTATCGCTCATAGGTCTTTCAGAATTGCTGTTTTCCAGGCCTCTCTACTTAAACTGCTCATTTATGCTGAAAATGCTAAGTTTGGGGCCTCATTCTCATCTGTATTGTAACAACTCAAACACAAAATAGATAAACAAATAGCCCATCCTTTATTTTAGCACCCAACACCTCCTCCCAAATATATTAAATTTCCAAAAGTCAGAGCTGAAATGCTTTGACCTAACTATACTCTTCCACCAGAGTTTGGACTTCGAAGTTAACAGGACTTGAGTGCAGACAAGCCCTTAGGAACACGAGTTGCACCAGTTTAGTTAAAGTGGTACAGAGCCCCTAGTGTGGATGCAGTTATACCACTATAAAGGTGTCTTTTACTGGCATAGCTTATTCCCATATAAGGTAGAGGAATAAGCCATATTGGTATGAGGCACCTTGATAAAACTATCCACAATAGGAGTTTTACCAGTATAACTACTCTGGTAGAAGATCACACCCTGCCAAATGAGTTACACTCTTACAAAAGCTGTGTACGCTAGGCCTAAGTCACTTAGATGCTCTTCTGCCAAATATGGGCTAGGAACTGAAGTTTAGGTTCCTATTTTTGTAAATTTAGCCTGTGTCCATAAAAAAAGTTTACAGTAACTTTGTTAATCCTCTGGAAGTCTAAATAACTTTCTATTAACACCTGACGTGACTTTGTCACCTCAAAATAAAGATTTTATGCTACTAAGAGATGTTAACAAAAATAAAATTTTAGCTTGGTGCTGCAGACACTTGTGTGCATGCGTAGTTAAGCATGAGTAGTCCCACTGAAATCAGTAAGACTGCTCATGTAAATAAAGTTAAATGCCTGAGTAAGGGCTTGTCTTCATGTACAGTGGCACAGCTGCAGCGCTTTGGAGAAGATTCTCCTGTGTCTCCGGGAGAGCTTCTCCTGTCGGTGTAGTTAATTCGCCTCCGTGAGAGGCGGTACCTGTGTGACTGGGAGAAGCTGTCCCGCCGACATTGTGCTGTCTACAAGGCGCGGGGTTAGGTCAGTGGATTTTTTACACTCCTGAGCAATGTCGTTATACCGCTGTAGGTATGTAGTGTAGACCCAACCAGGCCTCCGTGTTTGCAGGATTAGGCCTTTAATTTTCAGGGTTTATTTTTTTTTTTTTTTGCTTATAAGTTTTATAAAATTCCAATAAGACACTCTACCAGTGGCAGCATTTTGAGAACAGCATTTTTAATTTAGTTCATTTATATATTTTAATCAAAAGTTTCAATAGTGTGTATTTTCAAATTAGTTTTTACAAAAAGAAAAGGAGTACTTGTGGCACCTTAGAGACTAACCAATTTATTTGAGCATGAGCTTTCGTGAGCTACAGCTCACTTCATCAGATGTCGGGAAACATCTGATGAAGTGAGCTGTAGCTCACGAAAGCTCATGCTCAAATAAATTGGTTAGTCTCTAAGGTGCCACAAGTACTCCTTTTCTTTTTGCGAATACAGACTAACACGGCTGTTCCTCTGAAACCAGTTTTTACAAAGAGAGTCTTAGCCTGAGGTTTTTTTTTTAATCCAAGTAGTTTAAATAATAAATTTATATTGGTTATTTAAATTGTCCCATCCTGATGAGCTTTATAAACATGAAGCAGCATGCCACTCCTAAGTGGTAGATTAGTATTATCCCCCTTCTACAGATGAGGTGACTGAAGTATAGAGAGAAGTGAAGCCATTTGCCCACGTTCTCACTGGTAGTGGTAAATCTGGACTGGTATCCAGGCCTGACTCCCAGCACTGTGCCTTAGGGCTTGTCTGCACTTACATTCTATAGCGCTCTAACTTGCTGGCTCAGGGGTTTGAAAAATCATCCCGCTGAGCGCAGCAAGTCTGAGCGCCTTGAAGTGCTAGTGTAGACCGGCTCCGAGCGCTCTGAGCTAATTCCCTCGCAGAGGTGGATTATCTGGAGCGCTGGGAGACCTCTCTCCCAGCCCTCGTGCGCGACCACACTCGCACTTCAAATCGCTGCCACGAGAGCTTTCCCACGACAGCACTTTGAAGTTTCCAGTGTATCATAGAATATCAGGTTTGGAAGGGACCTCAGGAGGTCATCTAGTCCAACCCCCTGCTCAAAACAGGACCAATCCCCAATTTTTGCCCCAGATCCCTAAATGGCCCCCTCAAGGATTGAACTCTTAACCCTGGGTTTAGCAGGTCAATGCTCAAACCATTGAGCTATGCCTCCCTCCCTCCCCCCACCCCCCGATGTAGCCATGCCTTTAGTCATAAGATCATTATTTTGGCTTAATTATGAGATTTTTTTGATTCTTTAAAGGAAAAAGTGACTACAGTACTTATATAAAACAAAATGTGGTCCTGTACAGCAGTGGTTCAACCAGGGGTCTGGGTCCCCCGGGGGGCCGCGAGCAGGTTTCAGGGAGTCCGTCAAGCAGGGCCAGCATCAGACTCACTGGGGCACAGGGCAGAAAGCTGAGGTCCCACTGCATGGGGCTGAAGCCTGAGGCCCTGAGCCCCACCACCTGGGGCTGAAGCTGACTCCTGAAATAGCTTAGCTGCATGGGGCTCCCTGTGGCATGGGGCCCCAGGCAGTTGCCCTATTTGCTACCCCCTAACACCGGCCTTGGCTTTTATATGCAAAAAAATCAGTTGTGACACAGGTGGGCCGTGGAGGTTTTATAGCATGCAGGGGGGGCCTCAGAAAGAAAAAGCTTGAGAACCCCTGCTGTACAGTGCTTTCTTCTTGATACTTAGCACTTACATTGAATAGGTCAATAGCTACGTGTATAGAAACATCAGCTAAATGTAACCGCCCTGTGAGATGGGTTAAATCGGTATTATCTTTGTTTTACAGAGACGAGCGAACCACCTGCCAAGCTGGTGGCAGAGCTAGAGTTAGGATCAGGAGCACCCTGCTCCCAGCCATGCACTCAGTCCATTAAAGCAGGGGGCTCTTAAGCAGGGGTATGCGTACCCCTGGGAGTACACAGGGGTCTTCCTGGGGGGACATCAACTCATCTGGATATTTGCCTACTTTTACAACAGGCTACATAAAGAGCACTAGCGAAGTCAATACAACTAAAATTCATACAGACAATGACTTGTTTATACTGCTCTATATACTATACATTGAAATGTAAGTACAATATTTATATTCCAATTGATTTGGGTAAAAACGAGAAAGTCAGCAATTTGTCAGTAATCGTGTGCTGTGACACTTTTGTATTTTTATGTCTGATTTTGTAAGCAAGTTGTTTTTAAGTAAGGAGAAACTTGGCGTACGTAAGACAAATCACACTTCTGAAAGGGGTACAATTGTCTGGAACGGATAAGAGACGCTGCACTAAATCATGTTGTGTTTCTGCTATCCAATTAGTGCATTAAATATTGCTAATGCAGAGACTCAGCTGCCACGTTTGCCAGCGATCTATGCTTGGCAATAGCTCACCAGCACAGTTTCGGTTATTAAAACTTGTGCTTGACAGGGATTGTTGGCCAGGACACTGGGGTTAGTCTCTCTACTGCTTTTGAAAGGTGTTTAATTTCCACCAGAGGTGAGCAAAAGGAACTTAGTATTAATAAATCTCTTTTGAACTGCTAATGTTCAGGCTTCTGTTCAGCGGTAGAACTGGAGCTGAGTATGTCCTACTCCCTAGGGTCTGAAACAAAAACAGGGATAACCACCTCCTCCCCATTTCGTTAAAGGTTTATTGGTCCACTGTGACTTCATTTTCTGCTTCACCCATTCTGTGTATATAATATTCTACACTCAAGGCAGAAACAATTTATGTAAGATACAGTTTTGTCAATTTCTTTACATCTCCCACATTGGGGGGCACTGTTGAGTCCATTAGATTGTAACGGTTCCTTTGGTTTGCAAAATAATGTGATGGCAGACTGTTTATAGCTGGCAAAAATACCAAAAAATTGCCATGTCCACCTGTAGTATATTGGGACCAACCTAATGACTTGTGTTTTCCTAGACTCGACAGGGGAGGAAACAATAGTTGTGTATAAAATGTGGTGGAGAGGGATTGTGTTCGTCTTTAACTTATAAATGTAACTTGTTTGGTGCTAATATTTACCATCACCACCGCCAGCCAGGCTGAGCCTTCTCTGCACTGGTGTTTTTGAGATGTCTCACCATTGTGCTATGGCTGGAGCAGCTCCCACTAGGGGGGTAGCAATGGTGGAAGCACTAGTGTAGACTAGCTGCTGGCATTTTACCACTGCCCAGTGGGAAACGTGCCACCGGCTGGTCTATACTAGTGCGCCTGCCATTAGAGCTGCAGTTGTAGTAATTTGGGGGGGATTTTAAGAGAAGTGCCAGTATGCACAAGGCCGTAATGTAAAATAGTGGAAAATGTTGGTTTTCTTTGCTAATGAGGAAAAGTATCAAGCCCTCAGGGAAGCTGAGGCTAGAATAGTGATTTTTAGCAGGAGCTTATCTGGGGACTGAAACTGCATGTGTGGCTAAAAACATTTACATTGCTTAAGATCATCCAGAAATTAGGTTAGGTTAGCCAGGTCCACATGTAAAAGGAGGTCTCTCTTATGTTTATTCTCTCCTAGCCCCGAATACATATGCCCAAAGATGGATTCCAACTTACATCTTCTGGATACCAAGCATGGCTAAAGCAGGTTGGATTGTATTCCTGTTTCTCATCTCTTGTGAGGGATTGTGCCAGACACTTGTGCTTGTCTCAGTAGTAAAGTACATGTAAAGGCCCTATTAAGTTACAGTGCTGTGTAAGCTAATATCTTGCATAGTCATATATTTGTGGGTTTTGTATATGTGCATGTTATGCATGCATCACCTTTTCTTCACAAATCTTAGGCATTTATACTTCTTATGAAGGAAAGTTCAAAACAGAATTGCCATAAGGGGGAATGGATTGGAGTCTGAAAAGAAATCTGCAGCAACAGCTCAAATTACAGAATTAAAATGAGTCTTCAAATGTAAGGGTGTATGGTGGTGGTAATAATGTGAAGGCCAGTGGGTTAATACACCTGAGACTCACAACATCTAGAGCCTAATTCAGATTTGATTGGGTGAAACAAGTGTGGACATTTGCTCACATCACATAACAATCCTGTAGTTTGACACAATCTGACACTATTGGGAGTCCCTGCTCAGAAGGCCTAATGCTATATTACTTGAGCTATTATTAAAGGCAAAGCTTTTGATGTCTCGGCAGCTGGGCTCTAGCGGTTGCTGTCAGCCTCTCACTTCGATGAGTGTAAAATTCCCTTCAAAAGAATCTTCTAATTTTAAAATTGTGGGTATAAAGCTAATCCTTGCCCATGTATTTTCATGGGAGAATCCAGTGTCCTTGAGAAGACGGAGTTAAAGTTGCTGTTTTTGTAGGAAGCCAGAATGATTGCGTTGTTATGGCAACGAAAACTGGAAAAATGAAAACAGCACAGATAAGCTGCATCCTGTTGTCGTGGCAACTAGAGTTGTGAAAATGATTAAGGGTGGTGTTGAAAGAATCTGTGGTACTGTGAGCCCAATAGAAACAGACAAAGAGACAAGTCACTTGTGGTGGATGGGAGAAAATAAAAACCAGAATAAACTTAATCTCACATGATCAATTTTATAACAGGTTTGAGTGGGGTTATTAATGGTCTTGGGTCTTTCAAGTCGTGTCTCACTATCTTATGAGTAATAACCGAGCACCTGATCCTTCAAAGTTCATTGTACTCTTAACTCCTATTGATTTCAGTGGAGTTAAGATTGCTTGAATGCTTAAGAGGCAGTGGAGATTGGGTCCTATATTATTAATCCAAAGCAGTGGTCTTTAATATAACAAATGCACCTTTGTAAATTTCTAATATTCCGAAAGAGTTCTCTGGGGCTTGAACCCTGACTGTCTGAGAAACCATCTCTTTCTCCATAGTCCTTCACACTAGCGAAGGTCAGCTAGGGCACTGACGCTAATGTTTTCTTAATTTAAACATAACTGGGGAGGAGGCAGGTTATTTCAGTAGAGGGACCTCAGCTTTGCAGTTAATGTCTGTCTCCCAGCCCAAATTTGTTGTCCTACAGGGCACAACATCCTTTTTGTCCGAGGTGGTGGCCTGGGAGGGTGTGGTAGGGAAAGGATTATCTAGATTGTGACTGAGGTAGATTTTCATAAGTTTTTACCAAGTGCTCAGGTACATATGGAAGGGTGCATTTTATACATGCAAAATATAAATAAATGTATAAAAATTTACCATGTTCAGAAGTGAGCCTTTTATATGGAGTCTTTCACAGTGGAGCAAATTAAAAAAAAAAAGAATCTTTCAAAAAATCAATGTCTGTGGCTGGTATCTTTCTGATTTCACTGTGCCGCTGTTGAGTATTAATAAACATCTTCCTCTGTTTTGCTTCTCCTTCTGCTTGATCCTTCAGTGAAATTACAGACCTATTCTTGTGCCCGCCCCCGTCCCCCCTCCCCCCGATGGAAATAGCTGTCACAAATTCAGTGCTATGATTTCACAGTAGGAATTACAGGAGTAAAGTGGCTCGTGCATGTGTGTGTGTGGTGGTGTTGGGCGGGGGAGAAGCCTTTTTTTAAACACATAGTTCGGGTAAGTAGCAGAGATGGTAAGAGATTGAAGTGAAATGGATTTAGTTTTAGGTGACTTGTTATAATGGCCTTTTTAAAAATAGGATTTGAGTCAAAAAGCTACTTTAAAAATATGCACAAACCTAAATATTTATTCAGATAGAATGGCGCTATGGTTATGCATCAAGTTTATTCCTCTAAGTGTGCTTTTAACAGGATTCCGCGGTAATGGTTCGTTTCCTCAGTGTAGCCGGGTATTGATCTGCTGCCTTGCTTATACAGAATGAGAAGTATTCCAGTAACACAATGTATTAATGTGGGATAAAAGCAGTTTATATTACAAATGAGATGGAGGAAGATGGAGTTCTGCAAGACTGGACACATACTATAAATATCCATAAAACTGACAATTTTATCTAAAAACCGTGCTGGCAACACTTGCATATTTTCAGCCTACTTGAAGTGGAGTTAATAGTTGATCACTACCTGAGCATGGGTCGCCCACACTAATGCCATTACCCTCTGCCCTTTAATAGCAAGTTTTTATATTTAATGTTGCTGTGGTGTAGCAGAGAGCTGTGTTATATACATATGTGGTCTAGAGGAAGTACAATACAGATGACCAGAAATACATTTTGATTTAAAGAACAGACTTTTAAGTAATCTGTAAAGCTCCATTTTCTGTCTGGGTTCCTATAAGTTCATCCTTTGGTAAAAGACAAACACCTGCAGTTCTTTTGTTCAGCCCTGTTCTTGATTTAATCTTCTTTCTTCAAATGGCAGCATTGTGTTTTCCAACAGTGTGGAACATCCCATCCCCTTAAAGCTGAGCCTTTTGAAAACTAACTAAAATTGGCTTCCACAGGGAAAGGTTTTTTAGGTTTAATGTGTACATAAATAAGATCGATAGAAATATTTTGTTCCCATTCCTGTTTATATATAGAGATCCTATATGTTTTAAATTGAATTGTGAAGTCAGATAAATTAAAGCTGTTAATTAGCTTAAATGTCTTTGATTACATTAACAAGAAAACTAAATATTGTTTAGGTGACTGGTGAGAGCAAGGTAATTCAGAGTTAAAACTGACCCTTGCCCTTCATGTACCATTGTGCCTTAGTATTGTATCACATAAAGAGTTTAATATAATGAGCTCATCTGACCCTCCCTACCACCCACAGTATCCTGGAGTAGAATTTTTAGAGCCAAGTTATAAACCTGTACAAATATTTTATACTGGAAACTCCGGTGCTTACCTTAGCTAGATTGGCGCCAGGAAAGGCCACTATAATCAGAGAAGGCATTTGAGATATGGATCGGCTATACATCAGTCAAGTCAGCTGGAAAAATGGGTATAAAAATCATGACCTCAGTGAAATCTGGATCCGTCCTTTTAAGCTGAGCTTTCCTCGAAGAAATGTCCAGAGAGATTGTTTCTGTCCCTGTTTTGTAATACCGTCACTGACATACCTTCCTTACCTTCTGAAAGATATATTCTGTATTTCCAGTGAGTACCTAGAGACTTCAGATTATTTGAATTTAAAAATGCATACACTGGTTTTTTGGGGAGGAAAGTTAATATGTGGCATTCATACAGAATTTTGAAAATGTACAGTGCTGTGCACGTATTTAAGTAGTCCTCAAAACATTCCTGTGTGGTAGTTGCATAACATAACAATCTCTCAGCATATGCTCAGTGTGCCCAACTGATTGTATAAAATTATACAAATTGGAAATAGAAAAGACAAATTATCCGGTTCCTCTCTCTATCAGTAGAGGTGTGTTCCCTGTAGTACATATTTTTGGAGCTATAGAACTAGGGTAGATAAAAGTCCCAAGTGTGGGGTTCCCCTTAGAGCCTTGATATGTCTTCATAGTAGTTTAGAATCCAATGTGGTTAGGCAGTTGATGTGTCAGGGCTTCTGCTGCTTATTCTAAATGTGATCATTTCACTGTTTTCTTCTTCTCCTTCTTGGCCACTTGCATCAGTCTAGATTAGGTGCTTATCTGGCCCCCAGCACCATGGTATCTGAGCGCCTTACAATCCTGAATATATTTATCCTCAGTACACCCCGTGAAGTAGGGAAGTGCTGTTATCCCCATTTTGCAGAAGGGGGGACCGAGGCACAGAGAGACTTAAGTGACTGCTCAAGACCACAGAGGAAGTCTGACACAGAGCAGGGAATTGCATTTAGTTCTCCTGAGTCCCAGGATGACACCCTAACTGTTAGGCAATCCTTCCTTTCAATTCACTTACTGTCTCTTGTCATGTATTAAGATTTTAAGCTTCTTGAGGCAGGGACTGTTTTTTGTTTTTAAATTACATGTGTGTATAGCACCTAATGCAACAGGTCCCGGAGTGGGGCCGATAGGTGCTACTGCAGAACAAATAACAAAATGGAGAGTAGTTGCACAATACTTGATAACGAATGGCTGGTACTTTACACATTCAGTTACCTGTGTAAATATTAATCAACTTCCAGGGTTAGTATCCTGGGCATCACGGCATGGAAGAAAGTGTAAAAGTGTTGGGGAGAAGTGGACAAATGGAGGCTGGTGGTGAGGAGGAGGCACAAGATGGGGAGACGGTAAGATTTGAGAGTGCAGAAATAAGCAAGTTGTGAAGGGTCAGCAGTTAAAAACTGGGACTTAGTCATAATCATGAGTTCACTTTTTGAAAAGTTTAATATTTTTAGCCTACTTAATACAGAATGTTGATCTAGGAACTTCAAATACCTCCATGCTTCAGACCTTCGTGAGAAATCGTCCATAGGCCTGCTTTTCATGAGCTGGAGCACAGAAGCTTTTTATTCATGTAAAAGTCATTTTGAACGTCTAGGTCCAGTCTGAAAGTCTCTACTTCTTCCAGTCTCAGGGGGTAGCCGTGTTAGTCTGTATCCACAAAAACAACAAAGAATCCTGTGGCATCTTAAAGACTAACAGATTTATTTGAGCATAAGCTTTTGTGGGTAAAAAACCCACTTCTTCAGCTGCATCACAATGTTTCTTCAGTACCTCTAAAGAAGGGTATGGCATCTGCAGTCGTAAGAGCCACAGATGCACTTCATGGTATTTATAAGCTCTGTGGAACAAAAAGCAACAATTCATGGAAACATCAGTATCCACTGGCACAGACAGTAAAGCTTGTAAATTCCAGGAGAGTTATTTACTCAGTTTCCAACAATTAAATTGTAATATTCCTTAAGTAAGGTGTAGTCTCTGCTAGGTGTTTGAAGGAATTTGTAACCATCACTGGAAAATCTTGTGCATGTTTCAATTAGGACAAGCTAGCTCCTTTGGTTAAGAAACCTCTGCTCACCTTTAATCTCAGAGACTGAGGGCATGTCTACACTAGAAATGTAAGGTGACCTATGTTAGGTCGATTTAAAACCACTGCAAGTAATTACTGTAGTCACTCATGTCCACACTATCCTCCTCCTGTCGGTGGTGCACGTCCTCACCAGGAGCACTTCCACTGACTTAAGAGGGGCAGTAGAGGAGGCTGAGAGACTGGGCTCTCAGCTGCACATGCAGCTTCCTGCCGGGGGCCCGTTTGCTCTCTGGGCTCTTGGCTCCCCGCTGCCAGGGACCCGGCTGTGAGCTCATCACCTGGCATCTGGGAAGATCCTCGGAGCCTTGGTGCAGGGAGGAGCCGGACGCCTCTGGGCAGCTGCCACGCTGCGTCCGCCTGGCTCTCCACTCTGAGCCGGGCTGCATCCTGGTCTCCCAGTGGGGAGCCTGGAGGCTGTACTGAGGATCTCAGCTCCCTGCCAGGAGCCTGGGATCCGCCAAGACTCCGGGCACGCGGAGATGCCCACCAGGAGCCCTGCGCTGGGGAGCTGAGAGCCGTGGGGAGGGATGCAGCTAAGCTCCCGGCAATAGGGAGTAGGGAGCATCCGGGCGGCACCTGGGCTCCCCTTGGGGAGCAGGGAGCTAGGCAGGCAACAGCCCAGCTGGGAGCGGGAAGCCACCCACTTGCCTTGGTGACAACCCAGCTTTCTTGTCAGTTTCATGGCTGGAGCCGTGAAATTGACAAGAATGACAGCCAACAGCCTATGTAAGTAGTGCAGTGTCTACACAGACACTGCGTCGCCCTAACTACGCTGACATAAACCCAACACCTCTCATGGAGGTGGAGTTATGATGTTGCTGTAGTAAGGCACTTACATCAGCGGGAGGAAGGCCGTAGAGTGTACACTAACATAATTAGGTTGACGTAAACTGCCTTACATCAGCCTAACTGTAGTGTAGACCAAGCCTGAGAAAGTCTCATAATGACTCTGGGTGGGGAGACACTCTCCTCCGCCCCATCTAAAACTGACATTCTCCTCCTGGATCCCATGCAGGTAAAGAAATATTTGTATAATCTAAACATATACAAATCAGTCCATTCAGATTGCTATCAGCTTTGGTTATTAAGAGTATTACCTAACAAACTTGCTATAGCGCTGGAAACTCTTGAAAATGTATGGTAAACTGGGAAGGTATCAGGGCATTAGGCCTCGTCTACACTACACAGTTTTGTCGACAAAACAGTGGAAGTGTCTGCAATGCTCCTCCCGCCGATTTAACTCTCCTGCTACGCAGACATAATAAAACCACCTCGATGACGGCATTGAGCATTTTGTGACAAAGGTAAAGCAACACAGTGTCAGTGTAGACACTGCATTTTTGTATGTCGCCCTAAGTCATCTCCAGGAGGTGTCACACAGTGCCTGTCATGACTGCTCTGGTAAGCAGTTTCTACTCTGCTGCCCTGCACTCAGGTAGACAGGCATGTGCCCCTCCCCTTTAAAGCCCTGGGAATTTTTGAAATTCCACTTCCTGTGGAATGGACATGCAGCAGTGCCATGCTCAGATCAAGGAGCTGAGGTAGGCGTACCAGAAGAGAAGGGAGGCCAACTGTCAGTGTGGTGCCAAAAACATGCTGCTTCTACAAGGAGCTGCATGCCATCCTCCACAGCGACTCCACCTCCACTGTTAAGAGCTCCATGGATATGTCATGGCAGCGGCCAGCGGAGTCAACCCTGAGGATGAAGTGATGGACGAGGAGGTCGAGTTCAAGGAGAATGTGGGACAGGCTCCTCTGGCAGCATGGTGAGTCAGGACCCCTTTTTTGACTCCAAAGGGGTCTAGCCAGTCCCAGCAGTCTGGTTCTGGTGTGCCTGAAGCAGGAGAGCGGAGTTCCAGTAAGTACTAATTTTTCTTTCATAGTGCAGGGTTATATGAGGAAGAGATGTCCTTATTTTGTTACATGGTGCACATGGGAGAAAGGATGGAGATTAACAACACTAGGTTCTGTTTCCATCTGCTTCTCTTTCCTCTGTGCAGCTACACAGTGGGGGCCCTGCAGAAAAGTTTGTTGATGAACACCAAGGTCTCCTAGGAACCGTACATAGAGATCTCTAGCGAGCTTTTCTGCAGATACTCTGCAGTCCCTCTGCTGAAGGTTCCTTGGTAGAGCTCCTTTGTTTCTTAGAATCATAGAATCACAGAATATCAGGGTTGGAAGGGACCTCAGGAGGTCATCTAGTCCAACCCCCTGCTCAAAGCAGGACCAATCCCCAATTAAATCATCCCAGCCAGGGCTTTGTCAAGCCTGACCTTAAAAACTTCGAAGGAAGGAGATTCTACCACCTCCCTAGGTAACGCATTCCAGTGTTTCACCACCCTCCTAGTGAAAAAGTTTTTCCTAATATCCAACCTAAACCTCCCCCACTGCAACTTGAGACCATTACTCCTTGTCCTGTCCTCTTCTACCACTGAGAATAGTCTAGAACCATCCTCTCTGGAACCACCTCTCAGGTAGTTGAAAGCAGCTATCAAATCCCCCCTCATTCTTCTCTTCTGCAGACTAAACAATCCCAGTTCCCTCAGCCTCTCCTCATAACTCATGTGTTCCAGACCCCTAATCATTTTTGTTGCCCTTCGCTGGACTCTCTCCAATTTATCCACATCCTTCTTGTAGTGTGGGGCCCAAAACTGGACACAGTACTCCAGATGAGGCCTCACCAATGTCGAATAGAGGGGGACGATCACGTCCCTCGATCTGCTCGCTATGCCCCTACTTATACATCCCAAAATGCCATTGGCCTTCTTGGCAACAAGGGCACACTGCTGACTCATATCCAGCTTCTCGTCCACTGTCACCCCTAGGTCCTTTTCCGCAGAACTGCTGCCTACCCATTCGGTCCCTCGTCTGTAGCTGTGCATTGGGTTCTTCCGTCCTAAGTACAGGACCCTGCACTTATCCTTATTGAACCTCATCAGATTTCTTTTGGCCCAATCCTCCAATTTGTCTAGGTCCCTCTGTATCCTATCCCTACCCTCCAGCGTATCTACCACTCCTCCCAGTTTAGTATCATCCGCAAATTTGCTGAGAGTGCAATCCACACCATCCTCCAGATCATTTATGAAGATATTGAACAAAACCGGCCCCAAGACCGACCCCTGGGGCACTCCACTTGACACCGGCTGCCAACTAGACATGGAGCCATTGATCACTACCCGTTGAGCCCGACAATCTAGCCAACTTTCTACCCACCTTATAGTGCATTCATCCAGCCCATACGTCTTTAACTTGCTGACAAGAATACTGTGGGAGACCGTGTCAAAAGCTTTGCTAAAGTCAAGAAACAATACATCCACTGCTTTCCCTTCATCCACAGAACCAGTAATCTCAACATAGAAGGCAATTAGATTAGTCAGGCATGACCTTCCCTTGGTGAATCCATGCTGACTGTTCCTGATCACTTTCCTCTCATGTAAGTGCTTCAGGATTGATTCTTTGAGGACCTGCTCCATGATTTTTCCAGGGACTGAGGTGAGGCTGACTGGCCTGTAGTTCCCAGGATCCTCCTTCTTCCCTTTTTTAAAGATTGGCACTACATTAGCCTTTTTCCAGTCATCCGGGACTTCCCCCGTTCGCCACAAGTTTTCCAAGATAATGGCCAATGGTTCTGCAATCACAGCCGCCAATTCCTTTAGCACTCTCGGATGCAACTCATCCGGCCCCATGGACTTGTGCACGTCCAGTTTTTCTAAATAGTCCCTAACCACCTCTTTTTCCACAGAGGGCTGGCCATCTATTCCCCATGTTGTGATGCCCAGTGCAGCAATCTGGGAGCTGACCTTGTTAGTGAAGACAGAGGCAAAAAAGCATTGAGTGTATTAGCTTTTTCCACATCCTCTGTCACTAGGTTGCCTCCCTCATTCAGTAAGGGACCCACACTTTCCTTGGCTTTCTTCTTGTTGCCAACATACCTGAAAAAACCCTTCTTGTTACTCTTGACATCTCTCGCTAGCTGCAGCTCCAGGTGCGATTTGGCCCTCCTGATTTCATTCCTACATGCCCGAGCAATATTTTTATACTCTTCCCTGGTCATATGTCCAACCTTCCACTTCTTGTAAGCTTCTTTTTTATGTTTAAGATCCGCTAGGATTTCACCATTAAGCCAAGCTGGTCGCCTGCCATATTTACTATTCTTTCGACTCATTGGGATGGTTTGTCCCTGTAACCTCAACAGGGATTCCTTGAAATACAGCCAGCTCTCCTGGACTCCTTTCCCCTTCATGTTAGTCCCCCAGGGGATCCTGGCCATCCGTTCCCTGAGGGAGTTGAAGTCTGCTTTCCTGAAGTCCAGGGTCCGTATCGTGCTGCTTACCTTTCTTCCCTGTGTCAGGATCCTGAACTCAACCAACTCACGGTCACTGCCTCCCAGATTCTCATCCACTTGCTTCCCCCACTAATTCTACCCGGTTTGTGAGCAGCAGGTCAAGAAAAGCTCCCCCCCTAGTTGGCTCCTCTAGCACTTGCACCATAGCACTTTCTTCTCCCATTGTAGGAAACTTTGCTGTGCCAATTGGCAATTGGTTCTGGAGGAGCCAAAGCAGCACAAAGATGAGCAACGTACAGACCCAGTCTGAAGCCACACTCATGTAGGAGATGCAGCTTTGCATGTTTGGTTACCCTCAGTAGTGTGATTTTAGCATCGATTGACCCCGCCTGTGGAAAACAGTGCCAGTATTCCGAATAGTGGCCTTAGGCACTTGTACGGATCCCCTTCTGAAACCACCCAGATCCTTTGTCCCATCTTTCACCACCCCCTCCTTGGGCTGATCTCACCACGTTTAGTGCTCTGGCTGTGCTGCGTTTGCCAAGGGAAAGTGAGAAAGAGGTGTATGTAACTTTTACGGTTTAGGACTGTGACAATACTGACTGTTTTTGTTTTGTGTTTTTCCTTCTGCAGATGTGCTCTTGAGGGGCAGCTCCTACGCATTGGTGGAGCGCCTCCGTCTGATAAGGAGGCAAACAAGGAGGACATGCTTCACAAAATGCTGCAATCATCAGATCTGGCTGATAGCGAGCACAGAGCATGGAGAGACACAATAAACGAGAAACTAGAAGTGGGTAGCCAGGAGAGGAGACAAGGTCAGGAGTGGATAATAAAGCTCATGGAGGACCAAACAGAGACGCTAAGGTCCCGATTGCACTGCAGGTGGAACACGTGTGCTCGACTCGCCCTGTAGCCCATACAGAACTTCCTTCCTTGCCCTCCCCAAACTCCCCACACACCTTCCTCTCATATTCCCAGTACATTGCAGTACCTGTTGCGCCCCGCCCCAGGGATATTTTCCATAATGACATTTGAACTTACGTGCAACTGAGAGATCCTCACTTCGGAGAGAGTTGCTCACTGTCACTGTCCCTTGTGAGAAATGTTAAGCTGTGTATTGCTGTTTAATAAAAATTCTGTCTTACAGAGACAGTGAGTCTTTATTTGTGACCTACACAGGGTGTTTGCCACTGTGTGTGAATTTCTATTGCAATCAGCCCATTTGCAGACTACAATTAACGCTCAGGCAGGAATCATTATGGGGGTCATTCAAGGTGGCAAGTAAACAACGCCTGGCTCAATGCATTACAGAAAGACATGTTACTGGGGCTCATTGTCAAAATGCTGCTTCAAAGCCTCCCTTATTTGAATAGCGCCCCCTGCTTCATTGAACCCCTCAAATAGCCCTGGTGTCTGGCTTGAAATCAGCCACCAGGCGATCCACCTCAGTGCTTCATTCCTGTGGAAACTTTTCTCTCTTGGCTTCACAAATGTTATGCAGAGCACAGCAGACTATGACCATGGGAATATCTTTCTCATTGAAGACTAACCTGTCAAAAAGGCAGTGCCAGTGACCCTTTACTCTGCCAAACGCACATTCTGCAGTCATTCTTCACCTGCCAAGCCTGTTGTTGAAGCATTCCTTGCTGCTGTTAAGGTTTCCGGTGGAAGGCTTCATGAGCCACGGGACTAAGGGGTAGGCTGGGTCTCCCAGGATCACTTCGGGCATTTCCGCATTCCCTGTTGGAATCTTCTGGCCTGGAAAGAGTCCCTGCATGTAGCTTTTCTATACAGGCCAGTGTTCCTGAAGATGCGTGCGTCATGCACCATCCCTGACAATCCTGCGTTGATGTCAGTGAAATGACACTGGTGATCCACCAGCATCTGCAGTACCACAGAGAAGTATCCCTTTCTGTTGATGTACTCTGTCGCAAGATGGTCTGGAGCCAACATTGGGAAATGTATGCTACCTGTCGCAATTAGGGAATCCCATTGCTGCATAGCCATCCGCTATTTCCCACTCATTGCACAGAGTCACAGTCATTCTTAGCAGGAGGCGATTTATGGCCCTGCATACTTGCATCATTGCTACCCCTAGGGTGTAATTACAGTGGTTTCTGATCGTTCACGTAACTGAAGTTGACTTAACTTTGTAGTGTAGACATGGCCTTAGAGAATATTCAGTATAATACAGGAGAAGGGAGAGTTAAGAGCAACTACAGCAATGAATAGGAGACCGGGGGAAATCACTTTGATGGATTGAGGTTCATAGGTATAGCAGGGAATGTAAAATTTACCAAACACCTACTAGTCAGAGGACTAAACCTACTAGCTATAGGTTGATCTGAAAGATGAATGGGGGGAACCCACCACTGACATCAATGATATCAGGCTGCGGTTTGTCACAGAGGTCACAGATTCTGTGACTTCTGCAGTGCCCGGTGTGTCTGGCTCAGGGACAGCTAAGGCAGCCCCTGCGCCAGGCGCACCGGCTGCTGCTGGGGCAGTCTCGGGCCCCTGTACTGTGCCCCCCATCCCCCAGCAGCAGAGTTTGGGTGTGGGAGGGGACAGGGGGTTTGGGAACAGGACAGGGTGAGACCGGCTCAGGGTGGCGTTTATCTGGGGGGCTCCGCAGAAGCAGCGATATCCCCCTTGCTCAGCTGCTTGGCAGAGGCAAGGCCAGGCAGCTCTGTGCCTCATGCTGCCACCCGCATACCCTCTCCCAGCACCTGCGGGGTCCTGGGCAGCCCTCCCCCCAATTTTATTCACTGGTATTTTTAGTAAAAGTTATGGACGGGTCACAGGCTGTAAATTTTTGTTTACTGCCTGTGACTTTTACTAAAAATGCCCATGACGAAAACGTAGCCTTAATGATCAGTGCTGAGGTTGAGAAGTCCAGTACTCACTCCCAAGTTCTTGGAAGTGGGAAGGTCCTAATGAATGTGCTGTTACTGAACGTTGCTAGAGGGCTTCACTCTCTGGTTAATGGGAGCCAATCATTCTGAACCCTTCCAGTCTCCTAGGATCTGGCTCAGTGCTTTCATAAGTGAAATATACTGTTATCCTTTTGTCTTGAAGACTGTTTGTTTTGTGTTTTTTGCCTGGTGAATTGTGTTATTGCTTAAATGCCCTTAATTGTGGTGGCCCAAAGGGTTTCACTATAGTTGGTCAGTGAAGTAGAAGCATGGAACCAACTCTTTTCTAATTCCCATAGATGTTTGTGGGATGGAGCTCGGGTATGGAGGGTTAGAGGGGTTCTGGGTGTATGGGGTGAGGGTTGGCGGGGATGTCTTGGTGTGCAAGGTCCAGATGCACAGGAGTTTGGCAAATGGGGTAGCAGCTTCCCCTACAATGACCCCTCCCCCTGCAGCTGAGGAGTGATGGGGACAGGAAGCAGGGGAGGATGCTGAGCTTCCTGCAGCCAGGTGAGGTTTCTGGCCCCAGCCACTTCTTGCAGGGGAAAAGGAAGTTCTGTCCTCTCCTGCCTCCAGCCCAGCTGCGACCAGCGGCTGATTCCGGCTCAGGGCAGGAGCCACCTGCTGGGATGTCCCCAGCCCTGCGGTGATTTACCTCTCTGCCGGCTGCTCTGGGTGCCTGAAATGATGTACCTGCACAGCTACGGAATGGTGCATGACTGCTCTTGCAGCTTCCCTTTGCTTCCCTGTCAGAGAATCATTTTTCTGCAGGGAAGCAAAGAAATCTGCGGGGCACATGAATTCTGTGGACGTGCAGTAGTACAGAATTCCCCCAGGAGTAAAGGGCAGAGAAGTAGTACTATATTATCAGCCAGTGAGTTTGAGTACCTGTACTCGTGCACCACCACCACCCGCCTCTCCCCGGTTCCTGGTGGTGTCTGCCGCAAACAAGCGGGACAGATGGGGTAGTCGAGCATAACCCCCAAAAATAAAGAGGCTAAGAGATTGGACCTGTTCGGACACCATGTTTATTTAGTGGGTAGCCTCCAGTTACGTATCTCTAACCAGCATGGGTCATGGCTCCAGTGATTGGGCTTCTCTCACAAAGTGCAGCAGTCCGTTCAGGACCTCCCCTTCAAGTGTGCATCCATGTTCTCTAAACAAACAGACTCCAAGCTTCATGGCCTCAAAGACTTGAGGGCCACGCTTCGCTCTCTGGGCCTTTACATGCCCCCAGCCTCCAGGAAGCACTTAGGCCCCAGCAGCCTCCCAGATTCCCGGTGCCTCCTTACAAAAGAAAGGAAAAGGACTGTACATGTCTTCAACCCCTACCTTCTGTCTCATCTTCCCAGTTGGGCTCACACAGATGCCCCGGCGGGGCCAGACAGGCCTTTTGAAGGTGTGCCCAAAGATGACATACCAGTCTCGACTCTGGATCCATCCATCCTTTTGTCTTTGGACCGCCTGTCACACTTCCACCCATCATGGTCTTACATAACATTGGACCGTTGGGTGCTCAGCACTATAACAGTCGGTTACACCCTCTAGTTTTCATCCACCCTGCCATCCCTACCCAGTCCCTTTTCAGGGACCCTTCTCATAAGCAGCTTCTTGTCCAGGAAGTGCAGGCCCTCCTAGGTGTGGTGGCTGTAGAGGAGCTTCCTCAAGACTTGAGAGGGAAGAGGTTTTAATTCCAGTGTTTCCTAATCATGAAGGCCAAAGGCGGGGTGGGGGGTCTATGGCCCATCCTGGACCTGCATCACCTCAACAAATATCTAAAAAACCTGAGGTTCTACATGGTTTCTCTGGCCTCCATCATTCTCTCCCTGGATCTAAGAGACTGGTACGCCACTCTCAATTTCCACATCTCCATCTGCCGCGAACACAGGAGATTCATCAGTCTGTGGTGGGTCAACACCACTTACCAATTCACAGCATTTCCCTTCAGCCTGTCTGCAGACCTATGGGTTTTCACAAAGTGTATGGTGGTGGTTGCAGCCTTCCTCAGATGTTGAGGCATACGGGTCTACCCATACCTGATGACTGGCTGATCAAAGGCTTCTTGCAGGCTCAAGTCCAGCACAGCATTGGCATAGTATGGGCCACCTTTCAGGCTCTGGATCTGTTAATAAATGAGCAAAAGTCAACTTTGGTTCACTTCAGAGAATAAACTTCATTGAGGTGGTGCTCGATTCCACCCAGGCCAAGGCCTATTTACCGGAGACCAGATTCCGAACTATGCCAGACGTGATCTCCCCCAGGTCGCAGCCCACTCTCTTACAACCTCCTGGGTTTGCCTCAAACTGTTGGGTCACATGGGGGCATGTACCTATGTGGTGCAGTACATGTGGCTACACCTCCGAGCCCTATAGTTGTGGCTGGCATCAGTCTACTCCCCAGGCAGACATCACCTGGACTCAGTACTCACGATTCCATCGTCTGACGTAGCTTCACTGACTTGGTGGAGAGACCCAGGTTCCAAATGAGAGGGATACCCTTTGCCGTGCTGTATCAGTTGGTAAGCTTGGTTTAGGGCGCCTCAGACCTGGGGTGAGGAGCCCACCCTGACAATCTGCGGACTCGGGGCCTCTGGTCCCAGGAAGAACTCTCCCAGCATATAAATGTCAGGGAACTGAGGGCAGTATACTTGACTTGTCAGGCGTTCCTTCCCCAGATCTCAGGCAAAATGGTGCAGGTCTTGATGGACAATTCGGCCTTAGTGTTTTACATCAACAAGCAGGGAGGAACTCAATCTTCAGCCCTGTGCCAAGAGGCCCTCCAGCTGTGGGACTTCTGTGTGAAACATGCCTTTCACCGCGAAGCGTCACATCTCCCAGGAGCCTGGAACACATTGGCGGATCACCTCAGCAGGTCC